GATTTCCTTACTCTAAATTTGGTACCATTTTCAATTGAATCTAAAATAATGACAATATTTGAAGCCAAACAGAGGAGAGAAGCTTACAATAAATAAAAGGAAAATCAATTGAAATGTGGGGTTCAGTCACGAATCTTCCACAGTGCTTTCAAATGTGCCTTAGAGATTACCCATCTGTCTTGCTGCCTCTTTCCTAAAGTCATTATGCATGAAAAATGCCTTATCTTCTTTTGTCATTTAAAATACATACATAACCATTTATATATTGTCTTTTTGCGTCCTCAAGAGTTTATATTTTTTATAGGGTTCAGCTTCCTCCTTTTGCCTTAGAGATGCCTATTCCTCAGCCTAAACCAGACTTTAAAGTAATCTGAGTTGTCTGCTATGCTTTGGTCTAGAGATTTCTTCTGGATCATTGTTTTGATTGGTGTCAGGTCAGCCCAAGCTGACTTCCCTAAATGGCAATCTGGTAACACTACAAGTGGAGTTTTCTGTCTTAGTTTATTTTTAGAATCCTTTTGACAATACAACCAGTCATCATTGCTAAAACACAAGAGCAAACTTCATTATTCTAACTAGTCCTTATGTCCTGCTGAATGTTAGATTTTTATGCGGGAGCAGGCGGGAACCAATGTTTAAGTCTCATCTTAATAACAGTCCATTGGATGTCAATGGGAAATCCCTTTTCTCTGTCTAACTGTCCTGTGTAAGAACTGACAAAGAGGAATTCCACTATTTAAGAAAATAACAGGTTTACAAAATCATGATTAAGATAATTATTGATTACCATACAATATTTTGTATTTAGAGGGGCTAAAAATATTTTAAGGATGCAAATGTTGAGTGCATTTATCTGGTTGTTACTAGTGGTAGTATAATAATGATGAGTAATTTTTGGACTAACCTAGAGTGATTGTACAGGATAGGAAAGACATATAACTTGAGGGAGGAACCAAGCTTTTTTATTATACAATAGTCCTTGTTTAGTAACTGCCTTGTTTAGTGACCATTCGCAGTTATGACAGTGATGAAAAAGAAACTTTGCAACCACTCCTCACATTTACATTCTTTTCAGGTCTGTAAAGCAAAGGAAAGCTTAAGTAAGATCATAAGCACAGTCGCAGTTTCACTTCGTAGCTGCTTTGCTTAATAACCAAGTTGCCTGTTCCACTTGTGGTTGCTAAATGAAGACTACCTGTACTGAACTAGTCTATATCATACAGGCCAGCGAATGAATCTATAGTAAGCCACTATAGTGGCTCAGTTGCTGCTTGAAGAAAATTTGTCCTTAATTCTCTTTATCTGTCCAATGAATAATCAATCTGCTGTGGAATAGATTCTCTCATGAAGTGATATGTTCCCCACGGGAGCTTTTCAAACAGAGCTTGAAATGCTTTAACAGATCTTGCACCAAGCAGGATTGAGCCGGATGAGTTCTGAGGCTACTTCCAACTCTGTGATTCTATGATCTAATTCCTGAGGCATAGCTCCATCATGCATTGCAGAACATGAACCAGCAGAGAACTGAGATTGAAACATCAATATCTGAGAGATCATATGATACAGAAACAGTTGTTGTTCAGAGTGAATTATAGTGAACATAAGCATGGATATGCACATCTGTGTAAGAACTAATAGTGTAAGGCATTAGCATGATGATGCCATTGGTAAGAAAAGGTCTTAAGGTTTATTTTTATTTCTAAATATTTTATCTGTGTTTTACATATATTTATTGTGCATTATACATATAAAACAAATATATAATTATAAGACAAAATGCAGATAATTAAAATTACAAAATGCAAACACTAGTAAATAAGTCACTAAATCTGCAAACTTTATCAGTAGTTGTAGCACAAACATCCAATAGACCAGATAAAGCATAGGGTTAAAATAGACCTGACTAACCAGGCTATTCTATTTCGCACAGAATATTCTCTCATGAATGTATTTACAGGGGATGTAGGAAAGTGGTTTTAACATGTATTATTGTGGTTATAAAGTAGATAATCTTCCCCAAACTATTTAATTACTGAGCATGCAAGCTAGAGATGTGCCAGCTCCCCACACCCTCTCCAACATGCAGAGAGAAGGCTACATAGCATTCATTGTAGCATTTAGGCATTAAATAACCCTGGGACAGCCACTGAAGCAGATACTCCTAGGATTGAGTAGAGGTCTTTAGATGACCGGTTGGATCAAAAACCGTTCCACTGTGAGTCTGCTAAAGAAAGGGACAGATTTGGTTCTCATGAGGATTTCCAAATTGCACATTTATTAAAATGGAGATGTTTTGACAGTTGTGATCCTACATATTTAGAAGGCCCTGTTTAGAGAAAATAAGGGAAAAGTCAGACAAATTTTCATGCACACTTTTTTTAACATCTCAAACTTGATGTGGAAAAAAGACAAAATAAGCCTAAGAATGGGGGAGGGAGGAGTAGAAATTGAGATGAATCAGAATTCACAGAGCTATCCATTCCTACTACAGTAGCACTTACATATCACAGAACAGTGTAGTAATCTTCCTTGCTCAAGCCTGCTGCAGGACGCCTGCAGTCATTAAACCTAAGGAAGCATTATCAGGTGGATGGCAGTCTCTGCTGTAATTCTTGTTGCTCTCTCTGAGGCATCTGGTGGACGAAAGGTTTGGAATCTTACTCCAACCTTGCAAAGGGCAGAAAAGCTGCCAGCTCAAGATGGTTGCATTTAGGTCCCAGAATACATGTGGCATTTTTTACTCCCATGGGGGAGATGGTTGTATGTGAAAATGTGCAAGTGCTCTGTAAATAGCAATGTAGGGTTCCAGAGGGAAGGTGTCATAGCAGGTTGCCTGAGTTTTCCATCCTTCCTTCATAGTTGGGAGAGTGTCATATATCTTTGTTCTGTAGGCTCACTCTATGCAGTTTGTCCTGTCCATATGAACACACTACAGGTAGTCCTCATTTAGTGACTGCCTCATTTAGCGACCATTCAGTTATGACAGTGATGAAAAAGTAACTTTGTAACCAATCCCCACACTTACAACCTTCACAGTAAAGCAAAGGAAAGTTGAAGTAAGATCAAAAGTACAGTCGTGGTTTCACTTAGCAACCATTTTGCTTAATGACCGAGTTGCCGGTCCCAATTGTGATTGCTAAACCAGGACTACCTGTATCAAGACACACATTTTCCAGGTCTAATTTATATCCCTAAATCACCTTATAAATAAATGATGATTGCTGTGATTTTCTTTTGAAAACTTGGGGCCTGTTTCATCTGCATTAAATCATTATGCATGGTGGACACAAGAGTTACTATCTCAGCGTGCAGACGCAGGAAAGTCAAACTGTGTTACAACTTTGCCCTGGATAGTCTCTTAATCTGCAGTTGGAATACAAATTAAAGTTCTTGCACTCTTTCCTGAAGCTTTTACATTTTGTTTTTTATTTTTCATTTCATTTAATATTTTTTTATTTTATATTTTAGCCCAGGAACACCCTAAATCTTTATTCATAAGGGCCTCTGTTCTGTAACATGGGGGGGGGGGGAGGAGAGACAACACTAGAAATATAGTTTATCCCAAACTAATATTCTAATATGGGATTATCAAGCTTTGAAATCATAACACTGCTTTAGTTCAGCTTTGAGAGATCTTCCATACTTCATAGGCAAGAATGCGTTCTGAATTAAACTCCAAATTTAGCTATTTGCTCTTCTAATAGATCTTGTGCTTTTTTCATTATAAAGGTTCGATCTCACTGGAATTACTCATGAGCAATAATTACTATTTCTGTAACCTGTTTAGCCTTTCCGGCTCAGGGGTAAGCTCCCAACCAGAGATTCATTATTATAAAATACACAGAGAGATTGTTCTTTTTAAATAGATGTGCTCTTTGAATAACACAAAATTCCTGCCTCCTTTCTTCA